CATAGTTATTCTTACGAGTTTTTAATAAGACAGTATCTCTATATAATAACGTCAATGAATTTGTAATCTCATTTTATTTCAACCAAACAATATTGGATTTCACCTCAAGTAAATTTAGAATGAAAGTAATACATTTTAAAACACTTTTACATGCACTTTTTTGTCGAGAAATTTCTGAAAATATTTCTCCATATTTATTGAAAAATAAATTATAATGTATAAAATGGTTTATCTGATATATCAAACTTTTAAGAGCACTACAAATTAAGTTATCATTCACACACAAATTAAAATAATAATATTAGATTTTTATATAATTAAGAAACAAAAATTAATTAACTACAAGAATGCTAATAATATTAAAAAAAGAGTTTAATTTTTTCGTTCATATCTAATAAAAAGAAAGTGTTAGATTATAAGTATAGGTATTTCTTTTCCCATTATCTCCCTTTTATTATTATGATTTGCTTGGTATTCACTAAGGCATTGTTTATTAATTTCAATAATTTTTTGTTTATGAATTATTAAGCTTTTTTTATGTCTTAATATCCAAGTCATAGTATTTTTTATTTTTTTTTTTNACGCTTGTATCAATACACACATGTGTGGGCATATATACATAATTAAGATTCAATGATAATAGTAAATACTGGAAGAAATAAGAATAAATATGTATCATTCGATCCAACATATCAATGGTCATTATCAAGTAAAGTTTTAAATATGACAGTCAAACATACAGTGACAATTTCATAAATAAAGATACATATTGTGGTCAAATATATACATTTGACCAATAAATAAGAACAAATTAGAAATTACACACTCATCCAATAACTTGGAGCGGGCCCACCACCAACTCATCCCACTCCCCACCCCATCTCTTTCCACTCTCACATTCTCTCCAACGCACTCACACACATACTCAGATCCGGCACCACCTCGCGTTCTCACTTGTCGCCACCACCGACACACGTACCCTACCACCACCTCCGGCCGCCACATCCTGTCGTCGTTCTATGCCACCGCCACCTGGCAATCGAATGCCGGACGTAGCCCAAAATTCACCGCGGATGTATCGAGGTACCCGACAAAATGGTGCTTCATCGAGTGTGTCGAAAAGTTTTGCGGGACCCATCATCGGCAGCTTGCAAAATCGTCGTGGGAGGTGGAGCTTGAGTCGGTCGTAGGTTTTTAGGGGCCACAGGGAGGCTAGGTAGCTCTCCCGCTCGAGGATAAGCGAAGGGATGTCACGCGCCTTCATATAGGCGACCGCCGACAGGCCCGACGGATTGGCGTCGATGATCACCTGGTACGAAACCCAAGAAGGTTGCACGCGGGGGTGGGGGGGGTGGTGGAAAGGAGGGGACAGAGCTGGGTTTTTTTTGAAAATTTGATAAAACATAGGGACCTAATAGCAATTTTATAAATTTTGGTATATTACAATTTAGTTCATGAGTCAAATTTATAATTAACCAAAACATAATTAGTGTTTTAATATTTTCATTTATTTTATAATATTTGTTGGCTTTTTACATAAATTTTTTTACTAATCGAATCGAAATGTATAATTTTGAATCGAAAGTTTTTGTTCGATCAATTTTGCTCGATATTGTGCAATCTCATAGTCATTAACGTGCAATTCGTTTAACACTATTGTGCACTCACAGATAAGACATTTTCAATGATTTGTCACAAACAAAACTAAAATCAAATCGAAATAATTAGTTTGTTCAATCGGTTAACTAATTATTTCAATTAATCAAAATAATTTATTATTTATATTATAAAAATATATTTAGTATTTTAATATTTATATTTTATATTTTATATTATTTGTGATTAAAAGACATAATGTATAAAATACATAAAGTGATAATGTGCATTCCCACAAATAATAATGTGCAGTTTGCCTAACATTATTATGCAGTCTATTTTCTTATGTGCATTTCATTTTTAAAAAACTTAAATAATGTATATCAGTCAATATTATTTTTCATTTATCATTTATATAATAAAAGTATACATAGCATTTATCAACATTTTACAATGTTACGCTAATGTGCATTATCGAACCATTAATGTGCATTTTGTCTAACACTATTGTGCAGTGTGACAATCACTAAAGTGCATCTTGTTTAATACTATGTGCATTGTGTAGTGCGTGTTTTTTATGTGCAAATCTAAACTAAAATCGAACCGAAATAATTGGGTTATTCTGTTGGTTAATTGAAATACCTATATAATCAAATTAATTTATTGTTTATAATGTAAAAATATATTTAGTATTCTAATATTTTTTATTTAATATTTTATTTTTATTTTTACTAAATACATAATATGTATATGTATACATATAAGAAAAAATATTTTTTATAAATATTTTATAAATTACATATTTATCCCATACTATATTGAAATATAATCAAAATTCTTAAAATTGCAATTGGGTCCTTTGAGAATATCAAATTCTCAAAAGAAAAAAAAAGAGAAAAAAAAAACCCACAATCCAAATTACTTCTCCATTTTCAGTCCCTGAATTTGGGTCGCGTCCGGCCTTGCCCGTCGCAGACAGAGTTCCAAGCCTATCTACACAATCATTAGCCAACAAGCTTTTCTTTCATGCCTTTCTTCGTTCATGGTTCGATATTCTGATTTCCTCTAATTCTATGAACTTTTCTAGAATACTTTTTTCTTGAATATCATTCAAAAAAATTTCGGATTGACCAGCATTCAACCAATTAGAAACCCAAGATTCCATACTTTTAGTAAATGATAGAGAAATCCACCAGGGCAAAAAAACTATAGATGCAAGATCTAAAAGAGGAGTGAAAGGAAAATTTATACGAAAAGTTCCTTCTAATGAGAAAGAACGAGGGACACATTGACTCATAGAAGGTCACAGTTGGCCGTGAATGGAAGGCCACCATAGACGATTCGGCCCGATTCCCGATACAACGCCCCAACCTGATTTTGTCTCCGCCAGCTCCTGTCAGTTCACTGTTGAGAATTACGCGCAATGTTGGTCGATGGTGCCAGCTGCGTTATCGCCGACGATCCTTTTAATGTTGAAGATGGTGAAATTCATCGGGACGGGGATGAGTTGTGTCTTGTAGGCGAAGACGACGACGGAGCTAGCGTCGTTGTCACTGCAGATGGCCCGAAAGAGGTCCTCCATGGCGGTTGAGGACTCGGGCAACGACGTTGACGACAACAGTGTCAATCTCATGGTCGACGATAAGGTCATACTTTTGGAGCATGTCGTCGTAGCCGATGCCGTTTATGTGGCCGCCGTCACCGACGGGGAAGGCGAGGAGGAGGTTGCTGGGAACGTGTTNTGTTGTGGAGGGTTTGGCAGTTGGGAATTGAGGTGAGAGGAGTGGGTGGAGGTGGGGTCCAAGTGTGATGTGAGAGAGGGAGAGTAGTGAGTGGTGGGTCCTACATCAAATGTCAATGGAAGAGAAATGTCCAATTTATCCTTTATAACTGTAAATGTCTGACTTTTTTTATTCATTGAATTATCCGATTCAATGATCACGATGTATTTTTATTTCTTTTATGAGCACCATTTTCATCGGAGCACAACTCTATATATATATATATATATATGTGTGTTGATCCAACGTGAACAATCTGATGATTGCAGTATGATCTTCCATGCGTGTAGGGTGAAATTTACTATTTTAAACACTTACATTTTTAACGGGGTGAACTTGGATATGCATCTAAATAATCCATGAGTGGAATTAGATGAAGTTGGATGAAAACTGCTAGTGAGGTTTTTTTTTAAAAAAATAAATTGATCTGATACAAAAGTATAATGTTATTTACGAATGATAAGAAATAGTAAAATAATGATGTTAACAAATATGTGAGTGAACAAATATTAAATTTATAGTATAATAATAATTGATTTTTAGTTTTAAAACATTTTTTTTAAAGTTGGTGAAATAAATTGAATGAATGATAATTTTTTAATTGATAGGTAAACGAATCCCCCTTCCCCTTTATATATAATTACTGAATGAGATGAGTTTAAGTGGCAGACTCGCATTTTTCGAGATCCTATGAGGCGAAATTACATGCTTCATTATTTGGCTTAAATAGATTTCAGTTTACTTCCAATCCAAAAATAAGTAGGTTCAAATTATCCATAAATATGTTGATTATTTATGGTTATTTTACATGTGTTAATTGCATTGTAATATCATTTCCTATTATAACTATTGAATTGTATATGTATTATAAAAGTTAATAACTTTTGTATTTTTATCAGTTTTACATACATATATATAAATTTAATCATCTTTTGATGAGTTTTGATTACATCTATATTGTATTTATAAAACAAATAATATATACTCATCATTTTTAATAATAAGAAAATTAGTTATTAATATTAATTAAAAAAAATAGAATCATTTTTAAATGATATATTTCTGTTTAAAGTAGTTATATGATATAAGTTAGAAAAGTTATTATAATATAACATATTTAAGTCGTATAAGTAACAAGTGTCATCCTAAACTATATAACGATATATTATTTTAAAATATTTCTTCGTTAATTTTAAAATTTAATAATAATTTTGTTAATCAGCATACGCGTAATACACATAAGTTGTACTTAATTCAGAGTAATATATTATATCCCCTCCCCTCCTTTCTACCCAATTTCAACTAATTCATTATCCCAATAATTCTGCCGAATCTGAAGAGTGGATTTCCCAATTTATACTTTCCCAAGTATTATCATGATTTCATTGAAAGTTTATTAATGTCATAAAGAAACCCTAGAATTGCCTAGCATACATGCTACTTTTACGTTCCCCATAAAATATAACAATTTTCAATAATCACATAACAATTGAGTTATTCGTAAATTCTCAAACTAAGCAAGATTATGTATAACACACAATATGACCAAATACTCCCAGAAATATATTTAACG